TTGGAAATATAGTTAACTTAATGGAAAATAAATTTAAAAGTTATTGGTCAGGTTGTCCTATGTTATATGCATTCCATTTTAGATCCTAGGTGCGGAGTAGATGGAACTGAATAATTGATGACTGCTACCGCAGATAATTTAAAAATAGATATGCAACTAATTATTACTGACGCTAAGAAAATGTTAGAAAAAGTTTTTAGTTTGTATGAAGCAAAATATAGCATGGGAACTTCGTCGTCAACTACTAGTTCGGGGCCTAAAGGATCGTCGTGGAGTTTCTTGAAGAAGAAAGAGAAAACGGCAGGATCGTCCTCAACACAAGCGTCTACGGAACTAGTCAAATATTTTGAAGCAAATTTTGTAATCGATGACGACAAACTAGACATCTTACAGTGATGGAAGAGCAAGACAGATCATTTTCCAACACTGTCCATAATAGCTCGTGACATTCTGACAACTCCAGTGTCAACGGTTGCATCGGAGCAAGCTTTTAACGCAAGCAACCGAATTCTTGACGAGAAGAGAAGCAGAATGCATCCAGATATCTTGGAGGGACTAATGTGCGTTAAAGACTGGGAAGATGCCAGAAGACGAAAACAACAATACACAGATGATTCGATGCAAGAATATTTTTCTAACTTAGAAATAACATAATCTTCTTGAAGCACTTAGGTTTGTAATTTACTATTCCTAGCTACTACACTCTTTTTTCCTTCGCTAACGTTTTGTCCCGATCTCCCCACGGGTTTTACTTAACAAGGTTTTTAACGAGACAATTATTTACGTGTACTCTTATTATGTCAATTCAATAAAATCACATCTTTTAGGACATTTGATATTTTTTTTAATTAAATTAAAAAAAGAAAACAAGGGCCAGGGCCGGCCCGTGAAGGGCCTGGGCCCAGGCCCGGCCCTAGCCCTTATGGACTAGGGTCAAGGCCTGGACTGGGCCTGAGTTTTTCTTCTCAGGCCCGGCCCAGGCACGGCCCTGCACTGTGCAGGGCCGTGCCTGGCACGGCCCAGGCCCGTGATGGGCTTAGGGTCAAGCGTGCCGTGCTGGCCCGGCACGGCACATTTGACAACACTATGAAGTTTAGAAAAACAGACGTTACAAACTGAAATTTAAGTGGCATTTTGTGACAATTTATAATTCAAGAGACAACTATAAGATTTGTCCTAATCTTAATGGACAAACTCATTTTTCGGATGGGGTAAATGGATAAAGATTACCATGCTCATTTATTATTATTTAAAAAAAAAAGTGCCACCTAGTACTAAGATCTAGTCCTATTTACATTCCCTCTTGTTTTTTCCTTTTCTGTTCAGCTAAACACGCTAATGTGTACCTATGTCCTTAAATAAGAACTTCGTTTTGTAAATCCGTCTTGTTTCCAATGCAAATTAATCTTCTTCTAGATTATATCTGTGTGAAAGAAAACTGAATCGAAAAACAAAAGCTAAGATGGGACTCTCAAATCACTTATGTACACAAAAGCATCTTCACATGCGTCTGCTATGGCTAGTGTCAAACAAAATTTGCAGTAACACCTCAAACTCTCAATGCCTTGATGCAAACCAATCACCACAATCCACGAGGTTTACATTTTGGAGAACCTTTTTTTTTTTTTTTTTTTTTCATAGCACATGTATAACAATCCCACATAATAGAAAAAACCCATCAGCATGAAACTAGAGACTTCGGATGCGGTGAAGAGTGCAACTGTGAAAGGGCAGTGTCACTTTCCTCATTCTCATCAAACATTATGGGCGGTCCCGAGATAGGTTTCCTGCAAATTAAATAACCCCGTGAGAAGTTATTAATGCTTTGGAGATTTGAAAAAAGATAAGCAAATACAATCACAGACTTATATAGTAAACGATTCAGCTTTGATACTTCTACAATAAGATTTACTTCCTTCTTTAACCGGGAAAAGGTTCAACACTTATCAGTGAAATGACTTCGGAGCTTGGTGCTTGGTGGTTTCATTTCCATTTTGCATGAAGTAGACAGCTAAATCAGAAGCATAAACTCCTCTAAACCTTTTCTTTGTCTTTCCTTTTGGCTTCAAAAGAACTCACTTAGGACTTTTTATGTCCAAGCGGGTCTAACGAGTGCTAAATACAATGAATATTAGCATGAAGTAGACAGCTATATTAGAAGAAGCATAAACTCCTCTGGACCTTCTATTTTGCTCTTCCTTTTGGCTCAACAGAGACCATTTAGGAATTTCTTGTTTACGTGGATCTAACAACGCCAAATGTGTTCTAAGAATCAAAAGTGAATACTAATCATAAACTCAAAAGAAAATTAATAATAATGAATATTAGCGTGAAGCAGACAGCTACCTTAAAAGCATAAACTCCAAGACCTTTATTTTTCCTTCTGGCTCAAAAGAACTTATTTAGGAATTTCCATTCGTTAGTGGATCTAACAAATGTCAGATGTTATCTATGAATCAAAAGGAATATTAATGATGTTATCATGTAATGCCATTCCTTAGATTTTCATTTTTTTGGGGTTGCAACTTTGATTAGTTTTGACGTTTTCACTTTCAGAAGCACAGATAGCACAGATGTGCTTGCCAATTCACATGTCAAACATATAAGACTACAGTTTCTCTCAGAAAAGGTAGAAATTCTGGGGCCAAAGAAAAAAGGATCCAAGATCATACCTCTGAGAGACGAAACTTTCTTCCGACAATGCCTTTTCTAACCTCTCCTCGAACGGTGTTGCGTGCCAACTCACCTTCTGATCCTGAAAACATAACACAGACATTAAAAGATGCCTTAAATACATGAGGCGAACATGAAGAAAAAGAAAACATGATATACCTCCTTGTACTTATTGGTTGAGTTAGGAATTCCATTCCCATCCCACCACTTAGGTGATATACGAGAGGGTTCTTCCTCATTCCAATGAGCAGCAACCATACCAATAATAGGTCTGTCCATAGGGGTCTTAGCAACTCGAGGACGATCAGAAACACCCACAAATTTCTGATTATTGCCATCCTGAGTATGAGGTACCGGCTTCAACCAACTAGACAAACTAGCTTCCACCTTTACCTCTAAGGGCACTTCTTTTGACCTCTCTTTTTCAATTTTAGGCTGGTCAAGAGATTCTCTTAGCTCACTTGAAAGTTGCTGGGAGTTGGAATCTTCTTCCTTCAGTACATTCCATTGTGAGACACTTTCAACTGGGTTCAAGACTGGATATACATATTGTGACCTGATTCGAGTTTTTCCATTTGAAAAATTATCCAAGTGTGCAGGGAAAACAGTTCCAGGCGTTTGTATCTCATCAGAAAGCTTGTGTGGGGTTGGATAAGGTGACGGCTTCAATACGCTTTGATTACCTGGTGACTCAGCTTTCTTTAAATTTTGACTATAGTTTTCAGATGACGAGCCCCGAGAGGAAGACAAGTCTGAGTCACATTCAAAACGTACAGATTTGCCCTTACATTGAGCGTTTGTGGCTAATAGCTGAGGTGAGTCAGACGCATGAACTTTGGCTGCTGTGGAAGTGCTACCAGTTCCACTACCTTCAGTAGAGCTGATAGAAACTCTTCTCATGTTCTGTATATTTGAAGTACGGCCACTGAAAACGAAAATGCAAAAGAAAACATCAAATACTGTACAAATTTTCTTAAAGATCTCCATCGTGGCAAAAGCAAGTTAAACTACAAGATCCCTTATTTAAAAAGAAAAAATTAGAACCAGCGTTTCCCTTTTACAAAAGACAACTGAGTGTTAAAGAAATGATAGCGTATCTATAAAGTCAAGCCCTTTATTTTGATGTACAACCTGCTGGGTGTATTCTCCAAAGAGGCTGAAAGCATAACCCTTTCTTCGCAGGGTTTAATGGGTGTAGGAGGTTGATCAATTTGATTGTCCAACTGAAGTTTCTCAGCCGATGTATCAGGAAGCCACGAATGGAATCTTGAAGATCCAGAATCTCCACCATGAAGGGGTGAACTTCTCAACTTGGCAGATACTTTGCGAATTTCAATAGGAGTTTCCACCAAGGTACCACATGCTTTAAGAAACTTGGCCTGTTAAACCGAGTTTATAAGTACAATAGATAACTTCAAGAATCAATCCGCGTACTCAAAATAATAATTAAAAAAAAAAAAGAAGAGATATTCATAAAACTTAAGCATATAAGGTCCCTGTTATTTGTAGTAAGTTTAATTTTGACACCAATTGCTAGAAACTTTAGCTATCCTAATAGTAATAATGCCCTCTTACCATCCTTTTAAAATCATTGTTACGCTTTTGTAGAAAAACGCAAAGGTAAACAGCCTGAATATCTACTACAACACTATATCCAGTACAGCTCAAAGATTACACTACACCCACTTGCATAAAAGAAAAGGAATAAACTAACAGAACACATATCTTAATCTCACGATATTCAGAAACACTTAAGTCTATAATGTACTATTAAAGTAAAACCTCAACTAAACAATTATTTAGATTAAGACTGCATATAAAAGAACATAATATGAAAATTAATTAATTTCGACACTGCGCTTATAATTGCCCAATTAGATTAAAACTAAATCTAGAAAAAGCATAATTAAACCAACACAGAGTAATCGTACCTCTTTCTTTAGCTGCTTATCAATTTCTGGAGAACCAACAGAAGCATTGCCCATATCCTTGGAAGGAGATTCTTCTTTATCTTCAAAATTAATGCGCAAAACAAACAAATGATCAACCATGGAATTTTCATATTTCAATTTGATCGGAAAAAAATAACGATTGAATTGGAGCATATATATGTATATACCTTCGGAGAGAAACAGAGACGACAAACGATTTTGAGAAATTACGACCCCCTGATCATAACGCAATAAACAGAAAATGATCAGGGGAAAAAAAAAAAAAGAAAAACCAGAAATGCTACAATTCACCAATCATAAGAAACATAATCCTGCTACGTTCCTCAGAGCCAAACTGAAACAAGCAAATCGATTCAAAATTTAAAACAAAAGGAAAAAGAAAAATCTCAACAATCCATTTCTGAAATAATCCGCTTGATTTTCTTGGTAACCAAACAGGAAAACGGAAAATCAAAATCACTCTATCATCGCACCGTTAGCTTGGGCTGAGAAGATTCAACAACGAGGTGAGGTTGCGAGCGATTTCTGTGGTGGCGATCGTCCCTGACTCTGAAGCATCCAATGAAGCATCCCATGGCTGCGGAAATCGTTCTGTCAATGAAGCCCAAAACCGATCTGCAGACGAACACGAACCCTAGGTCACGGTAGCATAACATGGATTTTCCCGAGAAAAAAGAAGAGAAAGAAAATCAAAACCCTAGGAAAAAAGTTGATTTTTGAGAGGGTTTAATTGGTGATCTGAGAGAGAGAGAGACTGGGACACAGAGAGAGAGTTGGTGGGTCTTATTCGAATTTTGAACTACCGAGACGAGGGAAACATGTACGCTTCGTGAAATGACGGACTTCGGATTTGAGGCTTCGCGGTGTGTGGCAAATAACTTGTACTCGCTCTATTCTTAAGCCATGTCATACCGGATTGGGGCTAAGTTGTATTTTAGTAAAATATACAACGGGGCAGAAAGAAAACTAATGAAGAATGCGGTTTTGTTTATTTCACCGATTTGAGTTTAAAATTTGAGTTTTGTTACAGTAAAAAACTCTCATAAACAGTCATATCTAATTTTTTGGTTACAGTAAAAGATTCTCACATAAAATCACATCTCAACTCAAATTAAAAATTTAAATCAGCGAACTGAACAGGTCAGACTTTCTCACTCTCGTGCGTGGTTTTATCAATTATGCTGTGTGGGCTTTTTTAGGAAATCATGGGTTTTTTTTTCTAAGAATGAAAATCATGGAGATATTTTCGGAGGAAAAAATAAAGAAAAAAAGAAAAAAAAAAGATAATGGAGTTTTGTTAGGACATATAACGTCTGATTGAAATATTAATTTGTGTTTTAACTCTTTCCTTGACCCTTGTTGTTATCTTACTCCTTTTGTGGAGATTATTTTTTTGGGTAAGAATCCCAACTTCCTTCTTGTGTGTCAAATATTTTTCCTTTATTGCTCTCTTTTCTTTTTCTTGTCGGGCTTATTTCTTGGAAAGAATGGAAATAATAATGCCACTTTCCTTGTCTTCATGATAAAGAATTCTCAGGTACGTTACAAAACAATTACAAGATACAACTGGTAATTGCAGCCAAAAAGAAAAATCTTAGTGCAATTTTTTTAAATTAATTTCATAAATGCCCATTAAATTTTGTATCTTATTTCAATACTCTCTCTAAACTTTCAAAAGGATTCATTTTACATTTTGAAGTATATATCTCAGTTTAAAATGCTCTCTACATTTATAAAACTAACAAAATGATGACATGACACTACTTATATTTTTATAAATGCCCCTAAATTATTATAAAATTTCTCTGGTATTTTATCTTTTTTTAAAACACTAGTGTTCTATGCTCGTCGGATTTATATTATTTTTTCAATTTAATTTAATTTTTCACCAGATTAATACAGAGCTGACGACTAATAAGTAGAGAACATCAGTGTTCCCAAACAAGATAGAACACCAGAGAAAGTCCTTTATATGAATGTTAAGTCAACTTTTTTTGTATTATTTTAATTCCTAAACTTTAAGGGTCCGTTCACTTCGCTGATTCGAGTTTGTAATTCGAGTTGAGATGTGATTTTATGTGAGAACTTTTTACTGTAGTAAAAAAGTTAGATGTGATTGTTTGTGAGAGCTTTTTACTGTAGCAAAACTCGAATTCTAAACTCGAATTGGTGAAGTGAACGGGGCTTAAGTGTTTTCATTTTAGTCTCTAATTTCGAGACCTTCACTCAAACATTTAACACCTAACTAACAAAATAATCAAAATTAAAATAAAATAAAACCTTAGAGACTAATTATAAGACGTTTTAAAAGTAGGGATCAAATTATAATAACGTGTAAATCTAATCTAAGGACCGATTAAACCTTAATAGATCTTGGCTCAGTTTGATAGAGATTATTGGAGGCTAAAATGAATTCTCTAAGTAGCCACACAGCTGGTTTGTTGTTTGGTAAAAACATAAAGGGCCCGTTTGTTTGCGTTTTTGTTTTCGTTTTTCACGGTTTTCAAAGCAAAAAAATGAAAACGGGTGTTAAAAACGTGTTTGGTGCAATTTTTTTTAAAAAACAAAACCAAAAATGTTTTTGTCTTTTTGTGGAAATCAAAAAACGAAAAAAAGGTGTTTTCATTTTCTTGTTTTCGTTTTCTGTTTTCTGAAAAACAGATTTCACTTTTTTTTTTCTTTTTCATTTTCTTCCCTCTTTTCTGAAACTGTTTTTGTATTATATATGTTTATTTAATATATTTATTTAATATATTATTATTTAATATATTTAATAATATTATTTATATAATATATTTAATAATATTATTTATTTAATATATTTAATATATTATTTATTTAATATATTTAATATATTATTTATTTAATATATTTAATAATATTATTTATTTAATATATTATTACATGTTTTCAAAAATTAAACCACCAAACGCAGTTTCAGTTTTTTTAAAAACTGAAATCAATCTCTAAATAAAACTACCAAACGCATTTTTAGAAATAATTTAAAAATGAAACTAAAAACGTTTTCATTTTCATTTTCGTACAGAAAATAAAAACGTTTTGGAACCAATTCCAAACGCACCCAAAAAGTGTTTTTGAAAGAATTTTGAAATTATTTAAGGTAGATTGTGCGGCAATTAACGAGAGGTGGTTTAATGAAACCTTCGTTATTACACATTTACCCCTGATGAGTGAAAAAAATCCCACACCATTAGATTTCTACAGGTTTTGTTCTTTCTTCTCTCTCCTCTCTTCTCTCGAGTTCTCGAGTTTCCTTCTCTGCGCTCTCTCCGTGCTCTCTCTCTACAGACAATTAAGCTCTGCTCTCTGTGTTCTCTCGGTCTCCCTCTGTGCTCGTAAGGGTTTTGATATCCTCCTGCGATTGAAGTACGGGCGAACTCTCTCTCCGTTCTTTCGGTTAGGCAGGTCTGTGCTGGTTAGGGTTTCGTGCGATTGTGGGATTGTCGGCTGGAGCTCATCAGATCAAGATTATCACTGTTGTAAGTACTCGATTGATCTTCGTTTTAACTGATTTGGTTATGTTTTCACGGAATTTTTTTGCTCTGGCTTCGTTTCTATCCATTTTGCTTCTGTTTTCACCGGAAGTGTATTTTTTCTTCATTCGATTCTATCAACTTGTGTTACTGTAAGGGCATGTGGGTTAAAACCTTGTTCGAGCTTTTATTTCTGACTTCTGAGATGGAAAATTTTTGGTAGAGTGTTATGGTATTTTCTGTTTCTGACGTCTTACTCGTAGATGTTTATTTATTTTGTCATTTCCAAATGTTTCAGGGTATAGCAGAAATCAGAGAGCAATAATGTAAAAGTTAATTTTGTGCAATTGCATTTATTTCGGTGTCTCGAGTGCTTGAATTACATCAATGATGAGTGTACCAATGTAAAATTAGAAAGAAGAGGAAAGAAACCGTGGATGGTCAGGTTGTAGAATTTTCATTTTAGAGGCTTCAGAAACAAGAAAAACAGCTTCTGAGGCTTTTGGATTGTGCATTTTGAAAAGAAAGCTTACACGTGGTTTGGCTATCCTTGTGCACAAGAACAGGGATGGTAGTTCTGTTTCTTTATTCTATTGGTATCAAACAAATAGAGAGAGATAGAGAGAGCTTGTAGAATAGGATGGGGAGTTGGGTTCAAGGCAAGACGATGATGAAAAAAAAAAAAAGAGAGAATAGGAAAAATAGATAAATGAGTGAACTTGCAACTATAACATGTACATCAAATGAATGTTTAATAATGATGTTGCGACGCCTCTGTAAGTATTCCATTGATCTTACTTTTTCGAGATTTGCTTCTGATTTGTCCTCAAATTTTTTGGTTGTTTGTGTTATATCCTTTACTGAATACGCAGAAAAATCATTGTTGTGCTTGTTAGGGTTTCAGTTTTTAATCTCGTATTTATGCAAATTTCTGCTCAATCATCTTGTTTAGAGTGGCTTAGTAGATATATGTTAAATGAAAGAGTGGATCAATTTGAGTTGGACCTAAAGGTTTTGGGTTTCGTTGGTGATTGATCTTCTTAGTTTTTTATTTCTATTTTTTGTTTTAGAGAAAGTTGACATTTCAGGAGATTGAGTAAAAGAAAATAGTTCATGGATATGATTATTTGGTTGGAATTGAAGAGAGAATGAATTCCATTTTGACTTGGGGAGTGCTCTATTGCGTATGTTTGAAGAATGAAAGGACTTAAGTTTGTATTTGTAGGTATGTGTGTGTGTGTGTGGACATATATGTTTGCAAGAACTATTTTTTTGGAATGGGGATGTTTATTTGGTTGGAATTGTTTCATGGATATGGTTATTTATTTCATGGATGTGTTGAACACACTTTTGAAGTTTCTTGCTATCAATGAGGTAATTTTTATTTTTGAAATGATATTTTTATTTGCTCATTTTTCTTGAGTTATGTGGTAAAATAGTTGTTCCTTTCTAATTATAGTTGTTGTGTTCCTTTATCTACTTTATGTTAAGGTCCATCTGTTTTACCACTTGCATATCTCTCTTTATATTGTTGTCTCTGGGTTCTGGACTCTGCATAACCTATAATATGACGAAAGAGTTTGATATTGGTAAATCCTGTATTGACCTTGGATAAATTAAGATCTAAAATCCCAATTCTATTTCACATTTGTAGCTGGACTTAAACAAATGATCTATTTCAAGAAGCTGATTTGTAAAATCATATGTTGTCCTTGGCTAGTGACTGCCATTTTTTAGTGTGTTCTCAATTCTCATCATTGAATTTAGACTCTAGAATTTTGATAAGCTCACCGACAATCGCAGGACAACTAGTATGTAATTACACAAGAATTATGCACACAAACTCAATCTTACTCTTGATTGCTATTATTAATGGCGGAAATGTACAAAATCTAGGGATTGACAATGGAAACAGGTATGGGGGTGTTCGAGTGACCCCTTGCACTCCCTAACAACTTGTCTAAGTAGTTTATGAGAAAATGATCGAATGAATCTCCCAGCCTGGACTACACTTATTTATAGTATTGTTATATTCACTAACTAACTCCCCTTAACAAACAATCTAACTTCCCCCGGAAATGGCCAGCTCAGCCACTGAACATGCCAGCTCATCTTCTCCCCGAGTAATACTTTGCTGACTCGTATCCCCCACTGCCAGCCCTTGCACCAACCACATCTCTCTCTCTAACCTTCCTCCGCACGTAAGTAAAACGTACTGGAGGCTTATCATTACCCCCGCCCCGAAGACTCACCTTGTCCTCAAGGTGCAAAATGGGAAAACTTGCGGTCGATAGCCTCGTAAGACTCCCAGGTAGCCTCATGCGCCGGAAGGTGCTCCCAACGGATCAAAACTTCCAACTCAGAGTGACCCCCGTAACACGTTGGCGCACCCCCAAAACAGCCTCCGGTGCCACTCGCAGCTCCAATTCCCCAGTCAATTGGGTTGGAATCGAAGACACAGCCTGTCCTTGTCCCAAGGCTCGGCGCAGTTGGGAAACTTGAAAAACTGGATGAATGGCAGCCTCCTCCGGCAAACGAAGGCGGTACGCCACAGGGCCCACTCGGGCAGTGATAGCATAAGGACCATAGAAACGGGGGCTTAACTTCTCATTCCGTCGTCGAGCTAGAGACACCCGACGATAAGGGCGCAACTTGAGGTACACCAAATCACCAACCGCATGTTGCACATCCGTACGCTTACCATCAGCCACTGCTTTCATACGCTGTTGAGCGCGAAGCAAGTGAGACTTAAGTAAGTCAAGCATGGCATCCCGGTCCTGCAACTGCTGATCCACCGAATCTACTGCAGACACCCCAAGTCCATAGCACAACAGCGGAGGTGGAGGACGGCCATAAACCACTTGGAAGGGAGTAGTGCGTGCTGATGTATGAAAAGAAGTGTTATACTAATATTCCGACCAAGCCAACCACCGGTGCCATTTTCCCGGTTTGTCTGATGAAAAACAACGCAAATAAGTTTCGACACACCGGTTCACCACCTCCGTTTGACCATCCGTCTGGGGATGGTAAGCGGTACTACGTGCGAGAGTAGTGCCCATTTGCTTGTGAAGCTCCGTCCAAAAATGGCTAAGAAATATTCGATCGCGATCCGTCACAATTGTCCGCGGTACCCCATGGAGGCAAATTACCTCATGTATAAAAATCCTCGCCACCATTTCAGCCGAAAAAGGATGCTTCAAGCAATGAAATGTCCATATTTGCTAAGCCTGTCCACTACCACTAGGATCGTATCGAATCCTTCCGAACGTGGCAACCCCTCAATACAATCCATTGAAATATCCTCCCACACCTGTTCCGGAATGGGAAGTGGCTGCAACAAGCCACTAGGCGCCAATGTGGAGGCCTTGCAGCGTTGGCAAACATCACAAGCAGCCACATATGAGGTGATATCCTTCTTCATTCCCGACCAAAACCAATCCGCAGCCAAGTGGCGGTAAGTCTTAAGGACACCCGAATGGCCACCTATTACACCGTCATGATAAGCATGAAGCAGTTTAGGGACGAAAGGCGAACTCCGAGGCACGACCATCCTGCCCCCATACATTAACCGCCCTTGCACTAGTGAATATCCCGGATGGGTCTCAGGCTGAATTTGCAATGCGGAGACAAGTTGGCCCAGTTGCTCATCTTGCAACACTTGTTGCTGCAGCTCCTGCATGTCCACGATGGATGAAACCAGCAAGGCACACAATTTTGGTGAGTGAACAACACGTGAAAGAGCATCTGCGGCACGATTTTCTAGTCCCGGCTTATACTGGATTTCGAAATCATATCCCAACAACTTAGTAAGCCACTTTTGATGCTCCACACTTACAAGACGTTGCCCCAAAAGGTATTTAAGGCTCCGCTGATCTGTATGAATCACAAAATGTCGTCCCAGCAAATACGGCCGCCACTTTTGCACCGCCAACCGATGGCCATTAACTCCCTCTCGTAAACTGACTTTCCTTGAGCCCGCAACGATAGAGCTTGGCTGAAATATGCAATAGGTTGCTGATTTTGCATTAACACCGCACCCACACCAAATCCGGAAGCATCCGTTTCTAGCACAAAGGGTCATGTAAAGTCAGGAAGGGCTAGAACCGGCATAGAAGACATAGCACTTTTCAAGCAAACAAAAGCCCTTTCCGCATCCTCCGTCCAATGAAAACCATCCTTCCGGAGTAAATTTGTCAAAGGTCCCTCTATTTGACTATACTCAGCAACAAACTTTCTGTAATACCCCATCAACCCCAAAAAACCGCGTAAATCACGCAGCGTAGTCGGAGGGGGCCAATTCAACATTGTGTCAATCTTGGTTTGGTCGGCAGACACGCCCTTATTCGAGACAATGTGTCCCAAGTATTCCAATGACTGCTGGCCAAAACTGCACTTCTTTGCATTAGCGAAAAGATTGTGCTGCTGTAAAACCGCCAACACTTGGTCCAAATGATGTACATGTTCCTCCAATGTCCGGCTATAGACAAGTATGTCGTCAAAGAAGACTAAGACAAACTTACGGAGGAATGCTCGCAACACCTCATTCTTAAGTGATTGGAACGTTGCGGGAGCATTTGTGAGCCCAAATGGCATCACTAAAAACTCATAATGTCCCTCATGTGTGCGAAAAGCGGTTTTTGGTACACCCTCCGGTTTGACTCTAATCTGATGGTAACCTGACTTAAGGTCTATCTTGGAAAAAATGGTCGCTCCGTGAAGCTCGTCGAGTAGTTCGTCAATGATAGGAATAGGAAAAACGATCTGGCACCATCTCCTTATTTAAAGCCCGATAGTCCACACAAAAGCGCCAACTCCCGTCTTTCTTTTTGACCAAAAGCACAGGGCTGGAATATGGACTCACTCACACTAGGTCGAATAATCCCTACAGCCAACATTTCCCCGACTAATTTCTCAATCTCTTCCTTTTGGACCTACGGGTATCGATAGGGTCGGACATTAATCGGAGAAGTTCCTGTTTTAAGCACGATCGCATGATCTTTCGCGCGCTCCGGAGGTAATTCGGCAGGCATTTCAAAAACTGATGCTCTCCGGTCAAGCACCCCTGTTAATTCTTCAGGTATTTTGCAATGACTTTCTAAGGTACCCAATTCCACGTGGTTCCATTCAAGCCAAATCCCCTGCCCTTCATTGTGAAAAGCCCTCTACAAAGCTTTTAAAGACACTGAGGTCTTATTCATTCCAGGGTCTCCTTTCAATGTCACTTGTAGGTTTCCCACCATGAATTTCATAGTCAAACTTCTCCAATTCACCGTCATCACCCCTAGGGTCTCTAGCCACTGAATTCCCAGGATTATGTCTGAACTTCCTAGCTCTACGGGCAGAAAATCCTCCACTATCTCTATATCTTACAGGGAAACCACAATTCCCCTGCAAACGCCCTCCCCTTTAACCGATAATCCAGTCCCCATGACCACCCCGTAATCACCGGTTTTATCTACTGTTAACTCCATTTTTCTCACCAAATCGACAGAAATGAAATTATGCGTGGCACTACTATCTATTAAAACTGTTACCTCTTTTCCCCGCAGCATTCCTTTAAGTTTCATGGTTTTTGGTGAGGTGAGTCCAACCACCGAGTTTAGGGACAGCTCCACCACTTCTTCATCATCCCCAGGCTCTGCTCCTTCTTGTTCCTCTGCACCCTCCTTTTCTTCCCGCACAAGGAGCACCTGCAATTCTCGGTTGGGACAACGATGCCCAAAAGAGTACTTTCCATCGCATCAGTAACACAGCCCTTTCTCTCTTTTTGTTTGTATCTCCACATCGGTGAGCCTTCGATACGGTGCCGCCCCACTGTTCGAAACCGCGGCCTTCCCAGAATTTCCAGAAGGTCGCCCTAACGCCACAGAATTGTTTGTCGTTCTGGATCCTCCACCAAACGTCACTCCATTCCTCAGCCCATGTCCTTGAGAACTCGAGCCAATCCTATTCCAGGAGTTGAATGAAGCCATTTGGGCCTTGGGCCCGCGTACCAGTTGATTACGCTCTTCAACCCGTTGGGCGAAGTCCATGATTCGGCCCAAACCATTTGGTTTTAACATTCGAACCTCCGCCCTTACTTTAGGTCTCAGACCATTCACAAAGGCACTCTCCAGCACTTGCTCTGGGATCTCTGCTAACGGCGCCGCCAACGTCTCGAACTGCCGGCGATACTCCCTCACCGTAGTCTCTTGGTGCAAAGACAAGAATTTTTCATAGAGAGTTCCCTCCTGTGTTGAACGAAATCGCTCTAACACCATCCGTTTCAGCTCCGTCCAATCCCGGACCGCTCGTCTCCGCTCTTCCCACTGGAACTAGGCAAGAGCTTCTCCTTCCAAGCTCCCCCCCGCCATATCCAATTTCTCTCTCTCCGAGAGTCTATTCATGGCAAAATACCGTTCCGCCCTAAAAATCCAACCATCTGGATTATCACCATCAAACACCGGCAACTCCACTCGTCGAGTACGAAATTCCGAACGAAATCCCCCTTCTCGCCATTCGGCCGGTCGGCCATCAGTTTCTGCCGTCTGTTCCGCCGGAATTCCATTAGCCGTTTCCGGTGACTCTCGATGTTCAGAATCTCGCTGCTTCAACAACTCATCCATTCTAATCAGCAATAACTCGAGCCCTTGCTCCAACCGCGGTATTTTTCCAAGATGCTCACGCATGGATTCTACTTCCTTCAACAACTCTTCTCTGCTTACCTCCGTTCTCTCCTTTTCGCGATCATCCATCCTCTTCGTCATCCCGGGAAAGAGCTCTGATACCAATTGATAAGCTCACCAACAATCGCAGGACAACTAGTATGTAATTACACAAGAATTATGCACACAAACTCAATCTTACTCTTGATTGTTATTATTAATGGCGGAAATGTACAGAATCTAGGGATTGACAATGGAAACAGGTATGGGGGTGTTTTGAGTGACCCCCTGCACTCCCTAACAACTTGTCTAAGTAGTTTATGAGAAAATGATCGAATGAATCTCCCAGCCTTGACTACACTTATTTATAGTATTGTTATATTCAGTAACTAACCCCCCTTAACAAACAATCTAACTTCCCCCGGAAATGGCCAGCTCAGCCACTGAACATGCCAGCTCATCTTCTCCCCGAGTAATACTTTGCTGACTCGTATCCCCACTGCCAGCCCTTGCACCAGCCACATCTCTCTCTCTAACCTTCCTCCGCACATAAGTAAAACGTACCGGAGGCTTATTAAATTTAGACAGGAAAGTGAGTTTTATATTCAAGCCATTGTTTGCATGTTGCAAATACGCTTGTAGTTTGCTCCGACAGGGCATGAAGCAGATATGTATAACAACAACTGACTCAGACACGTTAACTCAAGATAGCAAAGAGGTACATATTTCTTTAGAAAAATATTACAGGATTTTGCTTTGAGAAATATGATTTCATTTCAGGTTAGAATTTTTTTGCTTTTTACCAATGATCAAGCTGTAAAAGAGAACATTCTAAATCAAATCACCAATGGTTCACAAATGGTCAAGTTAGAGAAAGATCCGCATGCTGCATTTGCTCTAACTATTGATGGGAAAACTTTAACCTATGCTTTAGAGGATGGCATGAAGCACCAATTCTTGGCATTAGCAGTTATCAGTCATTTGCTGTCGCGTTTCTCCAAGACAAAAGACATTGGTAAGAATGTTTTTTCCCTCATCAGTTTTTCCTTTTTCAATTACTAGGCTATATGCATCTTTTTGTTCTGAATTTCAATGATCAAGTCAGTAATATCCTTATGATTGTAGATTATGGAAACTACACTATACGGTTAGGTTTTGTTTTGATTATTTAAGTTTTTCTTACCAGGTAACGAGGTTAGTAAAAAAAGGAACTGGAAAAACCACCTAAGCAATTGGCGATGGTGCAAGTGATGTTGGGATGATACAAGAAGCTGATATTGGAGTTGGCCAAAACCCCACCTTAGCACTTGATTAAGACTGGAGCGCAAATGATGTTGGGATGATACAAGAAGCTGATATTGGAGTTGGCCAAAACCCCACCTTAGCACTTGATTAAGACTGGAGCTGTCTCTGCCAAGCTTTGCAAGAGAGAGAGCACAAAACAATTCCACAGTTGGAAGATAAGTTCCCATTGGTGTACAAGAACGTCAGGTCACCAACTAGGAAGCTTAAGACTACATACATGGCATTAAGGCCCAACTTGTTTATGTAACTTAGTCATTTGACGATGAAGCTTTTAAGAGAAGTTAAAGTGAGACTATTCTTGGATCTTTTTGGCAGAAACCTCTTTTTTAGTCTCTTTTTGTTATTTTATCGAATATTTTGTTATTTGAGCATTTTTGAACCCCAAGTTGGTTTAGTTTAAAGGTTTCAAAATTCTTGTTTGCTTACTAATAATTCTACTAATATTAGTGTATGGACGAAATGTCATTGAACGCACTTTTGGTGTCTGGAAAGAAAAATGGAAAATTTTGAAAGACATGCCAAATTATTCATTTACGAAGGAAGTGAAAATAGTTATTGTAATAATGGCGCTCCATAACTACATTAAGAAGCATGATAAGTGTGATCGATATTTTCAAAGGGTCGAGGATAGTACAAATGATTTTGTTTATGAAGAGAATCAACTAGATGACAATAATGTAGAAGAGAATCAAACTTTACTATAATTGGAAATGGATGAAGTACGAGATCAAATTGTGTTAAGTTTAATGAACACGACTTAATTCTTTTCATGCGTCTATCAGTTTTTGAACATGAAATGTACATTTTTGTTCAATAAATTGATTACTCACTAATGCTCTTTTTAGTGTAATTATATTGTGAATGAAGAAATAAAAAAAGAATTAATTATCATAAATTTATTGTTAAAAAACTCAAAATCATAGCATTATATATCTTTTTTAAAGTTAAACAAGTATTTCTAAATACCAAAAATAATTATACATATTTAAGTTTCATACCATGTCTATTTTGGTCATTTTACATACCCACAGCAATTCAATCTTAAAATTTACCAAACGATATTACACTGATTTTAGAACCAGCACAGTTACTATAATTACAGTTTACCAAACACTCAGTTGCTTCTTATAACAGTTGCTTCTTTCTTCAGCACAGCTAAAAGCAATTTTTCTAAAATCCACAGCATTACCAAACTAAGCTTTATACACTCTTAAAAATAAATTCTCCATCTTTTTTTTTATTTTTTTTCCGTGCTAACACTCATTCACAATTCACACCCATTCTTTTTTTCCTCTTTCTCTATCTATTCAACCACCCTTCTAAGTAAAGAAAACCCTAGCATCCTTGCTTACCCATTGTCCCCTTGCTGCTACCTTTTGTGAAGTGCCAATACTACACTCTAAAGACTAGTGTGTTTATTCGCACAACTCAAATTATGACTCAAATCATGCAACTACAGTATTTTTATTTATATAAATTAAAATTAAAATTTTTTATTACAGTATTTTTCTCACGTACATAACTCAAATTATGACTTAAATTGTGCAAATGAACACACTCCAAATCTCTTAGAAATCATTTATCCATGAGATTGGCTGGTGACTATATTGACGCTATTCTCGGCAATAGAGAAGAAAGAAGTACCCGACAGAGAAAAAAATCGCATGCTTAGAGAGTTGACGTGACGAGGAGTGAGCTTAGAGGATTGGGTCTTCGTCGATTCTCATAAATCTGAACTGAGCATTGTTCTTCTTCCGTCCAAATCTTTAGGTGTTTCTCTATTTCTCTACTCTTCCTTGGTTATGAATATTCTAAGTTGATTTTGGGTCTAAATTTGACTTAAGAGCTATGGTTTTGTTCATGAAATTGTTGGATCTATTGACTGTTTTCAAGGAATTGGTTTCTTGTAAATTGCTTGGTTTATTATTTAGTCTTGGCTTGTTGGGGTAATATGAAAATATAGTGTTGACCTTCTTGATTCTGTTTTGAGTAAATGAAGAATCTCTGATTCCTTTCCTTTGGTTGAAATGTGTACTCTATTTCTTATGAGCTAATTTGATATGAAGATACTTGAATGCACGTTTATTGTTGTACATTCATTTTATTTCTGCATCATTTAGAGAGCTTTGATGATTTAGCTTCGTGTTTCGTTGTTCAAGAGTATTTTTGGTGCTATCCATGTTGTTGCTTTGGATTTTACAATATATTAGGACTGAGAATTACATTTGGGTTGTGGTTTCTTATATATTCGAACTAAGATTTATCTGTCATTTTTTTTGTAGGCTTTTAGTATTGGGATGAGATCGGTTAGTATCTGTTGTACCATAAAATACGCTTGGACACGTCAGCCAACAAGGGAACGCCACGTGGCCCCACAGGGGCTGCGTGGACGTAGGCGTCGACCGTTTAGGCCGCCGACCCCATTAACCCTCGACGTCTATATGGCTTGTCCGGGAAGGCGATTTAGCTAAGGTCGGCTAGGTTGTGGTCTACGCCTGGACTCTGCCGCAACGGAACAACGCCGACCGTATAAGCGTGGGACCCCCGAGATGTCTGCATTGCAGGCATTAATTACAAACCCTTAAACCATCCTACGGGGGACAGAAAAGGGTTACAGATGCGCACAGAGCCGTAATAGGAGACTAATTGGCTGAGTGAACAGTTCACAAAGTGATTAGTGGGCTACGGTCTGGGCCTAGAAAGGCAGACCACTTGAGTGCTTCTGCCTACAAAGGAGACTCACCCGATGAAGGAAGCTCAGCTATAAAAGGGGCAAAGCCCCATACAGGAAAGAGGTTGGCTTCCTGAGAGAGAAAAAACAAGAGAACAACAATTGATGTAAATTGTAACAATCTTAAAAGGAATATAAAACTATAGTGGATGTAGCTCTTTATTAACAGAGTGAACTACTATAAATTTCGTGTGTTCTTCTACTTCAAGCATTCTTTCTCGTATTGCTCACCATTCTAAAAATACAACAAACACTTCATTGCATAAATTAAGTATACAGTCAATATCAAGTCGGTAATCCAACGGGATACCTAGAGGTGACCCGGCCTATTTCTGTTGACGAGATTTCACCGTCAACAGTATCCTAGTTTGGTCTTTTGGTGAGCATGATGATTTTGGTTGCTTAACTTTATTTATTAATTATTAATTTTTATTTTTATTTTTGTTATATTTCACTTATTACTACATCACAATGCCTATATTATTGTTGTTGTTGTATATTTACCTTATGTGCAGTTCTAGATTTATGTATATAGCCAAGTTTCCTTGAATGAACTAGTAGACCACTTCCGTAAAATTTCTTCTACACATTTAAGATAGGCATTGTGAAAGTTTGTGGAGATTGTCTACTTTAATTAGGCTAAATTTTTTTGGATTCAGTCCAACTAGAGATTTGTCTCAATTCCCTTTGATTTTCCCTTTTTGCTTCGTTTTTATTCATGTTGAATAAGATGTGTTGCATTTTGAATAGTATGTACTAGTTACTTGACGAATTAATGAAAAATCTTTTTAATTCACGTCCCTTGCTCAATTGATGTGATTTAGTTACCACATTAAAAACTATGTTGGTTGTTCTGATTAAGTTGGTTTTATGTTAATCCTCTTGAGGTGGTGGTTCTTGGTTCATTTTATCTTTATGCTCAACCCCACTTGGCTTTTGGGTTACTAATTGCTTTCAAGGTGTCGTTTTATTTCCCTTCTGTCAAATCCGATTTCAAGAGTCCATGTTGTCTTCGTCACATGTTTTACTTTTATGTCACCTGTCCTTTGATATATGTGTCCGTTATTGATTGCGTGGGTGAACCAAACCTGTATACACAAGGGGATTGTGATGTTACGGGGAAGGAAAACATAAAAGCGGGTTAGGATTGATTTCGTTTTTATTTTTTATATTATTTTTAAAAAATAAAAATATTTTTAAAATGATATTTAGTGTAATAAAGATAAAAAATAAAAATGAAAATAATTTTTTTGATTTAGTATAAAATGAGAGAGAAATAAAAAATGACTTTTAGTCATTTTTTATTTTTTATTTTCGTTTTCTCCTCTCTCGAGTAGAGAGAGAGAGACATTAATGAGATTGTTTATACTGAAAATAATCTCTTGATAAAACTTTCAAATGCATTTTTAAAAATGATTTCTGTCTGAAATTGAAAATGTTTTCATTTTTATTTTCATACAAAAAAATAAAATTATTTTAGAACGAGTTTCAAACGCGCCTAAAACTTTAGATTCGAGGTAGGGGTTCTATTACTTAATTTTTGTGAAATCTTATTTAATTAATTTATTAATTTTAAGAAGAATAAAATTGTATATTATATTTTGTTATTATTATTATCATACGATATTTTTAGTGGGCCCGTCTAGTAGTATACAACATAGCCTAATGATTTGATATAATTTTGAAACTTGACATAAAGCATGGTTAGAGGATTATAAACCAGACATGTTGGTGAGAAATGTGTGCTAACAGTGGCTGTTTACCACCTCAGGGTGTGAACCCAAAAAGGAAAAAGAGTGGAGAGACATTGGCGCTCTCTGGGGTTGGAAATCTCCAAAATTACTGTATAATGATTACGTCTTAGTGAGGACTCAGGACGATGATCCACTCTTATTTGTGGTTTGAGGACTGAGATAGATCTCCTTGCTGTCAATGCTCATGAGTTACCGCTTTCTTCAGGCTTCTTCCTCTCAAGATCACGAGCTTAATTATCGTATAGATACTGACAATTTAAATTGTTATATATATATATATGCGTACGTATTAATAACGATTTATTGGAAATATGAAAAAAAACTAACCATGAAGGTTTAAAAAGGGTAAATCAATAAAAACCAAAAGGTGAGTAATGGTTTTGTTATTGAGCAATGTGTGCTCACCCTAATTATTTTTCTTCTCTATCCAGGTTTATAAATTGGTTCAGTTGTATTTAAATGACGAGTCTCTGTCCACGTCAGCTAATGTCAGGATTTTGAAGTTGAACATGGCGGTCCGTCCATTTTGTTATTTGATTGGTTTTATGATGTACTTTTAAACTCACCCTAGGAATGTGTGATTTGTGTGCACGGAGGTTGTAGAAAATGACACTACCCCAGTTGAACAATACCAACTTGTATTTTTATTATTTTTAAATTATTTACTTACTAGAGCTGCACAGTGATATTTAAAATTTTATTTTGAAATCTTCGTTCTTTTGAAAATATTTTTATTTTGTTTTACCTTTATTTTTTAAAAGGCTCCAAAGTAAGGGTTATTTACCTAATTTCGATTATTTTAAATGTTAAATTTTGTTTTATCTTATTTAATTTTTATTAGTCATTAACTCCCATTTAGGGGCGTTACACAATCCTTATACAACCTTGACCGTC